CTTGGAGCCAGGCACTGAGCCCTTGGCAAGGAAGCCTGTGTTTGAACATCAACCCCTCGACCCTTCCCAGGGTCCATTCAGTGGATGTAAGTGCTGGGCCAGAGTGGCCGAGCCAAACCAGTGACCGAGCATGACCCAGCCGTTCTCGGGTCTGTTCTTTGCTTTGCCCATGGCAAGGTCTAATTTGCGCTGGACTCCTTGCTGCTGCTGGCATGCTTGTCCCCTCTTGCCATTGGGTAGGTGATGTCCAGGGACAGCACATGCGCATTCGACACTGGCCCAAGGCAGGTCCTCACCGGAAGTGGACATTTATGGCAGAAGCTGTTAGAGCTTGAGGGAGGCCACAGCCAAGCCGGGTTCTCTGGGGCCTGAAGCATCAGGCAGCTTAGACTCCCAGCCGAGGCTCACCAGGGACAGGCTCCTCTCACTCCTCTCAGCTGCCCAGGGCCCGCGGAGGAGGATGGGGGTGGGGGCTTTGACCCCTGATGCTAGTCCCAAGACACAGTCACAGCCCCCAGTGGTGAACCTCTCAGCCCCGGTCTCTTGTAAAAGTGCTGGCCGTGTTGGGACTTGGCCGGGTTGTCTGCAAGAGGAGCCAAAGCAGTTGTTTTGCTGGATCTGGAGAAAGAGAATAAATGAGCGAGAGTGGCAGTTTATAAACTCGCTGGCCTTATTGCTTCTTGCTGATGCGTTCAGGTCACTGCCACGGGCAGCAGGCACGCAGTGTGTCAGTGGGGACAGGCCTGCTGAGGGCAGGGAGTGGGGAAGCGAGTCCACAGAAGCCCTGGAGCTCTCCATGAAGGAGTAAGCTTCTGAGAGTTGCATTATCTGACCTGATAGTTACCTTGTTTTATGCTGGCTAGGGGCAAGATCAACTCTGATGGGGGGCGCGGGGGGGCTGCCGGGCAGGCTGGGGTAGAGCAAGGAATTGGAGTCACCACTGGCTGCTGATTGTTGGTGTGACCTTGGATCAGTCACCATGGTTTGCTGTCCCAACCTGGGGACAAGGTTCCTCCCCCAGAGGGACGTTGGGGAAGCTCACTGTAACTGTGCAAACACAGTTGATGTCAGGGACTGCTATGCAGTGGGCGCTCAGTCCATCGGGAGGGACTGCACTGCTCCGGCTCCATCCTGGCTGCTTCTCACTCTCAACAGACCTGTCCCAGGATGGACAGGCTACCTTGTTCCTTGTTGTCCTGGGTCAGAGTCAGACTCTGGCCCACCCCCTCTTCGCTGGGCAGCTGTGGGGGTGACATGTGGGATGCGCATCTCGTCTTGGGTGCATCTCCTCCTGGGCTGGGGGAAAGAGTTCTTTCTGCCCCAGCTTCAGAATTTGCAGGCTCTGGAGTGCCTTGGCAGCAGCCGTCTCGGAGTCCATCCAGCCCGAGTGCCTCTCTCCGGGGCACTGGAGACAGGCTGGGTTTCAGAACAGGTTCTGCTCCTGGTAGGGCTTGACCTGCTGACCCAGAAAGTGTGCAGGTGTGACTTCAGGTCTATGTCCATATACAGGCATCCTGGGTAGGCTACAGTCAGTCACCTTTTCCAGTCAAAACTCTTTAAGTGCATGTGTAACGGAGAAGTTGTGTCCTGGGCTGCTGGGCTTCTTGGAAGGGCAAGGAAGTTGGGTCTCATGCTGGGATAGACTCAGAACTAGCTCCGCCCTGAGAACTGGGCCCAGTTCTGTGCAGCCTGGCACAGCCCACTGGGCCTACCCCTCTTAGAAGGCAGCAGTGGCACCCCAAGGCAGGTCCCTCGGGGGGCTTTCTCTGCCCAACCTTCTTCATCCCACCCCACTCTACTCCTGAAGAGTCTTAGCAGCCTAATCCTTCTAGACTCTTACACCAGGCTCCCTGAACGGGAATTGTGGTAAATATAGCTTTCCCCAGCCCACATGCTCTAGGAGCCTTTTAGCAACCTCAGTGACTGGGCTTGGGTGAGCTGCCAGCCAGCCAACAGGTTGTCCACCTGTGCTCAGCTCGCTTGGGCCCTGGCAGCCTCACAGGTGAGAACCCCCTTCCCAAGGCCAGGCCTTGGCCCTTCCCCTGAGGTTGATATCCCTGCTGGGCAGGGTTGGGGGGAGGCGGGCGGGGTGGGGGTTGGTATGGGGACAAGCCACGCTTGGCCATCAGCTTCCGACTTTTCAGGAAAGAGCCCCGCTTGTCCATGGCTCTGAATCCTGAGGGAGGGGTGGCTTGCTCTGCCTTTTTAAAAGCTTTTTCTTTGTTCTCTCAGTGATGCCCAGTCTTGTTCTGAACAAAGGGAGACGCTGACCTGGCCCTTCCTCCCTAAGCCCCGTCCCCCCATACCTCCCTGGGGCAAAGGTTTGCCAGGTCTAACTGCACAGACCTGAGGGGGACCAGAGTTGCAAACCCCAAAGTGAGCTGCCCCTTCTGTTCCTCCCTGAAGTGTTTGCTGACATCTTAGCATGGGGGTTTCTTCAAACATCTCAAGGAATGTAAAGTTCTCCCCTAATTTGACTAAATATAACCCATGTGATTTGCCGTGAAAATGAAGCGCTTGCTGGGAAGGACCGAGGGAGTTGGAGGAAGTTGATTCCTAGAACTGTGGAGAGACAGGTGTGCCCCACCTGCAACATGACCTTGGCCACTGCTTCCCGGGGGCCTCAGTTGTCCCTTGTGTACCTCGATCCTGTGGCTGTTCCCAGCTCCTCCAGCTCTGCAGTGACACGGAACCCTCAGGGCCTGGGGTCGCCCCGTCTCCAGTGGGGAAACTGAACCCTGGAGATTCCTGCATCATTTGGGGTCAAGGCTGTTCCGCTCTTGGGGCTGGGCAAGGGGCAGGCACAGACTTTCTGTGCTGTCGTTGGGGTGCCAGTGGCCTGTGGGTTACAGTGTGTGGGGGGGTCTTGGCTGTGGCAGGTCGAAACAACGAGGCAGGCAGCCACTAACCGCACCCCTTCTCGGTTGCCTGTCTGCTGCTTGCTCTCAGCTGCTCGGGGGTGGCCTGTGTGTTCGCCTTCTTTCTGTAGAAATAAGTGACCCACTTCTTCGCCTTCCCCTGCTTCTGCTCACCTCTTCCTCATCAGAACCCTGTCACCCCTCTGCTTCACGAGCTCTCTCTGGAGAGGACTTTGCTTTCATCCCCGGAATGAACGGCTTTTACTCAGCCCCCTGCCATGAGCGCTCAGCGATGCTTCCCATCTAGAACAACTCACCGGAGGTCCTGCAGGGACTGCTGAGATTTTTAGCAAACAGGATAGACAGATCTATATTATTTTGGTTATTCAATCATATTTACATACTAAACGCCTGTTCTGTTGCCAGTTCTGGTGCTTTGGAATCACAGAGATGAATGAGTCGTGGTTCCTTGTCCTTATAGAATTCTCCTTTAATTGCACAGACGTGACAGGGCACCAGCCCTGTGAGCCAAGCGTTAAAGGCCACGATGACAGCTCCTCAGAGTGGGGCAGTGGGGTTTTGGCTTCACATTCATCATCCACTCAGTGACCCTTTATGAACCCCAACATATGCACAGGGCTGGCCTGGGCGAGGGGAAGCCTCTGAAAGGAGTAGGCTTTGGCGGGAGCCGTGAGGGGTGAGAAATGTGTGTGTGTGGTGGGGCACCATGCAGGAGGTGTTCCCACTCTCGGGACTCCACAGTGGGAACGCACAGATGAAACCATCACGCTCTGTCCTCGGGAGAGCACAGTCCAGTGGAGACAGATATGCCAACAGATAGCTCAAAGATCACCTAACAAGTGATGCAGGAGGTGCCGACTCTTACTGCTTGAGGCCTCGGGTGAGGCACCAGTCCTCTGAGATTCAGCCTTTTCATCACAAAGTAGATGGATTAACAGGGTTTCCGTGAGGATTAAGCTCTGGTAATGTGCTTACCAAGTGGCGCACCACAGCTCTGTGAACTAGCTGCTGCTTTTATCACGATGTTCATTCAAGTCACGGCTATCTAGGAAGCTCCATCAAGGGGCCTTGTGTTTCAGAACTGAATACTGTCACTCTTGCGCCCCAGGGGCAACTGCTCCGTGTCACTTCCTATTAACCACCTGTCCGATGCCAGGGCCCAGGCAGGGAAACCGAGGCCTCGGAGGCCTGCCCTGGCTGCGAGACTGCTCTCAGATGTGACAGTCAGGTGCACGCCACCACCACAACTGGCCATCTTCACGGGCAGCTAGAGAAGGGCCCTCAGATGCCAGGGTCTCTCTGAGCACCTTAGCAAGGAGCACGGGCAGGTTCCCGGAGCCTGGCAGCCCAGGCCTGAGTAGACAGCGAGCTAATTCCAGTTCTGTCTGGTTCCACAGAAACTCCACCCTTATGGCTCTCTCCAGCAGGAGATGGGGCCGGCCAACTCAACCAATGCTACCCAGGATAGAAGCTTTACCTCATCAGGACAGACTCTGATTGGCTGAGCAAACCCAAGGGCGGGACTCTGCTTCTGGCAACTTAACCCTTTCTTGGGCATCCCCTACCACACAGTAACCTCACCTCAACTGGACCCAAAATGGAGGACCAAGATGGTGGGCCTGGCGGGGGTCATCTGAAGGGAGTGACCCCACCGGTGTGCGTGGATTGGCATCAGAAGGATCACAGTGGTGTGAGGGCCTGTGGGCATGCTCAGACTGGCTTCAGGAGGTCCCAAGTGGAGAAGACTCAGAGGCTGATTCCCTGCAAGGAGGAACGAGGACAAGTAGCACCTGAGTTTTCGGTGGTGGTTCCAGCGCTGGCCTTGGGGACAGCAGGAGAGGCGGGAAGAGGTTGGCCCCGATGGAGATCGATGCCGTGATCCCCGCTGCCAGAAGAGTCCTCCACCCATTCACTCATTTCTCATCCGTACTCATTCACTCGTGTGTTCATCCAGTCAGTGGATATTTGGGGGCCGTCTCTGCCAGGCTCTGTGCGAGGGACTGGGGGTGCTGTGGAGAACAGGACGGACAGTGGTCTCTGCACTTACCAAGATATCAGTCCTAGGAGGGGAGTGAGCCTTAATCTGAGTCAATCCCACCCCACACGCAGACAGGTGATTGATAATCTATGAAGGAAAAGAATAGAATCTTTAAGAGAAAATATTATTTAGATCGCTATGTGCATGGGCACAGGGCGAGAGTAAAACTTTATAAAAAAAATAATATAATAGTTTATTTTTACATCATTTTGTGCATTTTTCCATCTCAGTTGCAATCCCCTTGGGGAGAGTAAACCTTTTAAAGTAAAAGCTGCAGACTAGAAAAGTTAGCTAATCCAGATCTTGGGAAAGTGTTCCAGGCAGACAGGACAGGCTGTGAAGAGCGCCTGGGTTGGGAAGGGCTTGGCATGCTGGGGGGACCAGCCCAGGCCAGCGTGGCTGGAGTTCTCGTGGACGAGGACCAGGTTGGGGCGAACACTCAGGGGAGCCACTGAAAGCTTTTGAGAAGGAGTCACTGCGTTTCACAGGAATTTCTGTAGATCAGAGACCCCAAGGAGGGGCCCATGTGGGTGTGAGGCAACTAATTAGGGGGTTCCTTCAGTCCTCCAGGTGAGGGTTGATGGGGACTGAGGACATGGGTTCGTGAATGCCCAGACCTTAGGACACGGTGGAGTTTGTGGAGTAAGATGAGATCATTCCTTCTCCCGTGTCTTGCTTTCCCATGGAGGCGGCTGAGGTGGGACTTACCTCACAGAGCCTTCCGCTCATCAGGCCCAAGTAGGGACTAGTGCTGAGTTCTGGAATTGGGGGTTGGGAGCAGTGGGTGCTTAGCCTGGTCATTGTGGTAAGTTCATGGCCTCCAGGCCTCAGCAGGGCTTACCTGTGTTACTCCTCCACCCCACACTGTCCCGTCTGTCTGAGAGGAAGCTGGAACACAGCCCTCTGGAAGCGGATCTGGTTTGCTTTCTGCAGAGCTACCAGCGGCAGACGCTGGGGACTGGTGGGGCTCAGCAACTCTGGTGGAGAAAGCCCACCAATGGGGGACAATGATTAGAGATGCCCCCCCAGCTGGAGCCAGGCTGCTCTCACGGCCTTTTCTAGCTGCCAAGACCTAGAGGAAGGGAAACTGAGGCCACCGGTGAGAGTAGCGTAGCTCACATGTAGGAGAGTGAGTAGGATGAGGGTCACTAGCATTGAGAAAGGGGGTCAGAGACACTGGAGAGGTTGCTCAGGCCCCCTCTGGGTGGTGTCCTGCATGGCCTCAGTATCTTTAGAGAAGGGTGTTGGGTCCTGATAAGTTTGTTCAGCAGTTGTGGCCACATGAACCCCAAAAAGGGCCCCCCCCCAACAGAAAATGCCTCCCTCACCTACAGTTCTCTCCAGCCTAGGAAAGATCAGAGGTGTGGCCATAGCAGCACCCTAGCAGGATGGGATGTATCTGCCCACGACCAGGCCAGCACCCCCACCCGGCTGGGAAGCGGACTTGGCCTGAGGCCTGAACTGGGACCAGCAACACGGCGTCTGTGAGCCAGGACTCAGCCGCAGGGTTCGTTGTGGGAGGCCGAGCAGCACAGGCAGCAGGCTGCACTTTGATTTCATTTGATTCCCTCCCGAAATGACATTAAGAATGTGAACACAGGAGAACCGCCTGTCTGGAAAGGCAGCAAGCTTGTCTCTCCCAGACCCGACGAGCTGGCGCTGTAGGCCAGACAGGTGCACAGGACAGGCGTGCTGGCCCCAGGGACGCAGGGGAGGCCAGTGGCAGGGCCCCAAGCCCAGGCTGTGCCGGGGGGGTTTGGACATCAGCCCCCGGAGGGCCCTGCCGGTCTTCCTGGGGGCAGTGGTGAGCCACAGTGCCATTGCTGCTCTGCCTCTCCAATCAATGGAACAATTAATTTGGCTCCATGGACTCGAGAAGATGAAATATGACCCGGTGGCCACTGCTCTTCAGCATTCCAGTCTGTCCAGTCGTCTAGGATGATGAACAAGCTACCGAGATTGCACTGGAGAGTCATAATCACGGGAAACACGGCCAGCCCCGCCCTCCACATCCATCACGCTCAGAAGCACACACAATGGTCTCTTTCCTGATGGGCCAATTGTCTTGGTTGGGTGTCTTGGAGCCTAGGAGCTGGGAGGATGGGAACACAACTATTTATTGTTGAAAAGGCCATCTGTGTGATTTGAATACAAAGTGAGCCTTTCAGTCTCCACCCCGCCCCCTCCCA